ATCAGTCATACCAGCACAGTCTACAGCAGCTCTAGTCCCTGATTCGACCCAGACTGCTTCAGCATCGCTTCCAGCTATAGAGGGTCAGACTGCTCAGAGCTCAGGGTCAGATGATGATGGCACACAGTTCTAGTTCGCTCCTCGCACCTCAGCGCCCGACTCGTCCGCTGCAGCCCCGCCGACTGATCCTTAGGTTTTGGTGTTTGACGCCAAAGGGGGAGAGAGATCGAGTATGTTAGACTTAGGGGGAGCGACATATCTAGGGGGAGCTTAGTTATTATATTAGCTTATCTATTACATTTGGATTTTATGTGTGATACACTATTATGGATTCATCGTGTGTTTACTTTCATGCATTGAACTATATATATATGATAGTGATATCTACGTGATCGTGATATATGACATGTGTGCTCTCTACTTTGGATTATCTATATGTCATATCACTTGTGCTATGCTCATTTGATTTGCTTCCGCATTTTTACTCTGATGCAAATGACCTTTATTACTTGTACTCATGCTTATTTTATATCTTTGGAGTACATTATGATGGCTTGGGTCATATAAGCTTGACTAACTCTTTTGTTCTTATTACTAAAAGCTTATATGAACCAAGCATGTTAAAAACCTCATCTCTTTCACATATTTAAGGTAGTATTGTCATCGATCATCAAAAATAGGGAGATTGAAAGCATCTAGGCCCCTAGTTGTGTTTCGGTGATTAATGACAATACATGATTACTGTGATTAACGTGGGTTTTACAGAGGCAATTAAGTTAGGTCACGGTAATGGAGATCGATTGGACTATCATGATGGTCATGCCCCTATGATGGAAATCGTTTCGGTTTTCAAAGGATGGACGACAAGGTTAAGGATGGACTAGTTCTAAGTGTCGATTGGAGTTGGAGTGACATTTAGAGTAGTTTAGGACTTTGTTTTTCCTTTGGTCGTACTATTAAGGAGGGTAAGGACGGGTAGCTTGACCTAGGTGAGTCTAGTGGGTTAGGTATGATGCACACTTGCTAAAAATAGCGCTAGGTAGCTCCTACATAGCCCTTAGATCCAATAGAGCAAACTTTATTCACATATGATCGAAAGTTGGAAGTGAATGGAGGGTCAAATACTGACCGGACGCTGGCTCCGGTGTGACCGGATGGTGGCTCAGGATCTGATCAGTTCATTTGACCGAGGGGTTTTCGTTCGGCGCGATCGGACGCTGAGAGGTCAAGTGACCGGACGCTAAGGGCCAGCGTCCGGTCGTTTCCAGTAAGGTTCTAGAGAGGGAAAATTACGACCGGACACGTCCAGTCAGTGCTGACCGGATGCTGGCCAGCATCCGGTCACACTGTAATCACTGGAGTTCAGGGTGAACTGATCGGAGTGTCCGGTCAATATGACCGAAGCGTCCGGTCACCCCGCAGAAGCACATAATGGTTCATTTTTCAGCCCATGTTATAAATAACACATCCATTCGTGTGTGGGCACTTTTGCTCATTCCAACAGCTGAGAAACATCTTAGAGAGTGCCAAGAAGAGTAAGGTCCTAGTGAGGTGATTGAGATTTGAGAATCCCAAAAAGAGCCCTCATTAGTGAGATCAAGAGTAGCAAAGTGTGCATCCACCCTTCTCATTAGACTTATCGTGGTCAAGTGAGAGTCCGTGCTTGTTACTCTTGGTGATCGCCATCACCTAGACGGCTTGGTGGTGATTGTGAGCTTGGTGATTATCCGGAGAGCTTGTGGATGACCTAACTCAAGTTATGAGCGGTTATGGGTGATTCACCACGACGGAGAGTCAAAGAATCAACCCGTAGAGAACACTTAATCCTTGCGCAGATCAAGGGGAAGCTACACCCTTGCGCGGGTGCTCCAATAAGAACTAGTGGGGAGTAACGACTCTCCGATACCTCGGCAAAATATCGCCGCGTTCCTCTTTCTCTGTTTATTTTGAGCATTTACTTTGAGCAATTCAATTCTTGTCATTTACAATCCTAGAATTGCCATGCAAGAGTAGGATTGGAACTTATGGTGCTAAATTTTTGTGCGTTAGATTAATAGAAATATTTTCTAGGCACAAGGGGTTAATTGGGCTAACCGTAGGATTTAATTATTGTAAAGAAATTTAGAATTAGCCCAATTCATATTCTCTTGGACATCTTGACCCTTTCAGTATGTTCAAAATGTTGCATTTGAATGTTTTAAAAGTAGATCGGGTGTTGCATCTTCCTTCGAGCCTTTTGCTGCCTCATCTAGGTGTCTCCATTTCCTTATGACATCGGCTGGGCATCCGCTGCCTCCTTCCTCTCTTTTCTGATGCTGTTGACGTTCGGGGTGACGTTGGTCTCACGTGGACGTGTGAAACGGCGCGGAAAAATTACTGCAGGCGTTCTTGATGCTTTTGACGTTTGGGGCAGCGTAGGTCCCACGTGGTCGTGCGAAACGACGCGGAAAAATCACCGTAGACGTCGATGTCCGGACGCTAGCAAACTTAAAAAATTAATTTAAATTAGCTCTAGTGCAATCAAACAAGAGGGCTAATAGATATGCTAGTTTTTTAGAAAAGTTTCCAGCTATAGCCAGCTAAGTAACTAACCATAGTTTGAGCTAATTTTTAGCGAAAATAAATGGATATATCAAGCATGCCCTGCATCTCGCTTGGACGGCAGTGGCGAGGTGACGCACGGGGGCTCACGTGCATAAAATCTTTTTTCTGTATATATGCGCACGTAAAAAAACGACAACCCATGGATGGAAATTGTGGAATCTAATCTAACTAATAATAACTAAACAGATCCAGGATTTACCTGCGAAACAACAAGGAAAAAGAAAAGGCGCAGAAGGCCTCTTTCCGTCCCGTCCCCGCCCCACGTTCGTCTTCCTCTTCCTCACTGCCGCCGCCGCCTCTGCCCTGCCCCCCAACTCGAGGAAGCTCCTCCTCCCCCTCCCCCTCCCCCTCCTCCAATCGCGCCACCCCGATCCATCTCATCATCCCCCGTCCACGGACGGAGCCGCCGTTCCCGTGCCTCTGGAGATCAATCCATCCAACCAGCCGGACTTGGATTGCTTTCGAATCTCCTGGTAAGATTCCCTCCCCCCTCCCCTCGCTAACCTAGATTATTACTCTAATGGTCATGGACGCCATGGATGGCAGATGCTTGCTTCCTTCCTTCCGTTCTACTACTCCCCTTCCTTCTCGCCCTCAGGTATCCAATCGAAGTGAAACCACCACATCTATCTTTCTACTAGCCGAATTCATGCGTCGACTCGGATCTCCTTTCTTACTACGCGCTGCTGTCGATATTCATCCACGAGATTATGAGATTTAATTGCCGTATTTTATATAATACAATAGCTGTCTAATTTCGATTCCGCGATCTGCAAACGGCATCCTTCCACTCCAATTCGATTGAGCTCTTCTCTCCTGCTCCTGACGACAGGAAGGAAGGAATCATGTGCGATTGACGCAGTAATTGCGCTGTCCTTGTCCCAGTACAATGCGCGGCCCACCTCTTGCGTCTTTCCCTTGCGCTGTCGCCAACGCGCCCCCCCCCCAGATGCGTTTGGCTCCACGCACAGGGAGCAGCCAAAAGTGCAGACTCGCGTCACGGGGGAGAAAAGGAGAGCTCTCGTTGCCCTGTATGTCAGTATTATGTGTGCTGCTGATGCTGATGCTCTGGTGGAAGTGGAGCCTCCGCCTGTGCTGTACCTACCTCTCGGTGGCAAACAATGATTAACATCCCCTTAGTACTACTGCACACACCTTTTCGGTCACAAACTGTGATGGTTGATAGGGGTTCCTTTTTCTAATCCTGGGATCTTACAATCTAAAAACACCACCCTTCCATCTGAAACAATTCAAGATGGCTAAGTGTAATATGCCTAGTATTGCCCTCAATGCAATATCTGCTCTGCGCTGAGGAATACTATGTCATCCTAAATGACGGTTGGAATTGGATAGGTTCATAGTTACTGAATTGCCTCAGCCATATGATCCGATCCTAAATTTTGCATCATGTGGCCATTCAGTCTCTTTTTTGCTACCCTTCCTTACATTAAAACTGAATAATTTTGGACGTTTTTATTTCAGTTGGATTGTAAGAGCCCGGCAGGGAGGGGGGCTCTAGGTGGCGGCTAGGGTTAGGGAGGTGGGTTGTGGGTGGCGGCACAGGGAGAGGGCGGCGGCGTTAGGGCAGAGGGAGAGGAGGAGTTGGCGCAGGAGAGGGAGAAGGGGAAGGAGGGATAAGCCTTGAGGCTGTTCTTTCTTAATCGCAATGATTACATAGTCCCTCTACTTATGGTCCTAGGTAGACTTGTATCCTAAGCAATCTAATGAGGGGAGTCCTTATAGATATGGACCCCTTCCTATCTTAACTAATCCTATTCCTATTGGAGACTCTCCTGATATGGATAGTGGACGTCGGGGACCTGCCCTTGCTTGTGCGCCTCCCCCTAGGCGTCGGCGCTGCTGCTGCTGCTGCTGCTGGCGTCCGGGCCAGCTGGGCCAGATGGGCCTGTAGGCCCCATTAGGCGTATGACATCACTCCCCCCTTCTGTGATCAGTGCGTCCTCGCGCTGAATCATTGTCCAATCTTTGACTGCCTCTGGTGGTGGTTTGGCATCCCCGGGTAGCTGTGTGATTTGAACTGTGATGTGGCCCAAGGTGTCGTTGAATTCATTGGTGGTGACATGATAATCGGAGAACTGGAAGCAGTAGCTACACAAGCCGAAGTAGCCGGAGATGTAATAGCTGTCGGTTCCCGAGCCATCCAGTGGTTCATGGATGTGGCGGGCTGCGTAGATGGCGGCACCGGAAAGCGTTCCCGGGAAGTGTAGTGACTGTTATCTGCCGTGGAGGTCGTAGAAGCGAGTGCATCTGGCCAGCATCAACTTGTCCCCTTATGCGCCGGCACAACGCAATGGCGACGATGGTTGGTGGTGTCGTGGTAAAGTGTTGTAGCGTGCCGAAGAGGAAGTCGCCGGTGTCGGAGTTTGCCGGGGAGATCAGGGGGGGCCGTAGCCGATGTAGACGTCCTTGATGGAGAGGAACTGTTGGCCATTGTTGTCGAAAAAGACGACCGTGGCCGATGGAAGCATGCGTTGTGTCCAGGCCTCGAGGAGTAGAATACTCGAGGGGAAAGCTTGCGTTGTCGGTGAAGAAGTCGTGTGGAGGCCGATCGCTGGGAGATGCGGAGCTGTAGTTCCAATCGACTCGAGTATGTCCTGCAGTAGCGGGGAGGATGCTGGTATGTAGAGGCGGTTGTTGTAGTAGATGACGCCTTCGCGGATCGTCCAAGCTGGAGCCGCTGCCTGCAGTGTAATAGTGTCGTAGATGATCTGAAGCTCACGCTCATCCGTGGAGGCTCCCCGAAGCTGAACAAGAGTGTCGGAGATGTCGATGGAGCGCAGAGTCTTGTTGCGGTTGCAGTTGGAAGTCGGGGAGGACGCCGATAGGTTGTCCGCCGTGGCTGCTGCTTGAGGTGGGTTGAGCTTCAACTGGCGGGCGTACATTGCTGCTGCTGAATTGTAGCCGAACTGTGGGATTAGTGCCCCTGCTGATGGTGTGCGGGTCGTCAGGTTCGCCGGAGGAGGATGTGGAGGTGACTCATTGTCCACTCGAATTGCTGTGGTGTGCGGCTCCTGTTCCCGAGCTGCGTCGGGATCGACGAGTGGAGTTGCTGCGATGTCGCCCAGGGCGCGGGCGAGGAGGACGGCTGCTTCCATCTCCTGCGGTTGATATTGAGCGACCGCGTCCCGAAGCTTGTGTTGTAGACCATTGATGAAGAGGCTGACTTGATGGAGGTCGCTGGTGATGCCAGTGCGTACTGTGTACTCGGTGAAGGTGTCGATGTAGTCGTTCAGGTCGTCGTTGTGACGGGGAGGAGCGGGGTCATCCCGTGCTTCCTGTTTGGTTGGAGGGCTGAAGTCGCGGATGAGGCGCCGTGTGAAGGCTGTCCACTCTGATGTTGGCGCCTCCTTTATCATCTGTATATACCAACAGTGCGCTGCTTCAGTTAGATGAAATGCTGCATACCGAACTTGCCCATCTTCTGGTATGTGCTGCAGCCTAAAGAGGAGCTGCATCCTTGAGATCCATGGTAGTGGATCTGTAGAGCCGTCGAATGTTGGCGGCGTCAACCTAGCCACGATGGTTGGCTGTTGGCGTGTTGACGGGGCTGCTGCTGCCTGGATTGGACCCTGTGATGGTGGGGTCGGCGCCTGCTGCACTGATGGCCAGTCGGCGTGTAGAGGAGGGCGTTGGGCTGATGGTGTCGATGGAGTCGTCGAAGGGCTCACGGTGCGCTGTCCTTGTGAAGAAGAGCCCGGCAGCGATGGCTCTGGTGCTGGGAGCAAGCTATCGGCCACCTTGCCGATGATCTGCGGGGTGTTGGAGGATTGAGGTTCCTCCAATGGAAACAACGACGCCATTGGTGGCTGTGGTGATGGCGGTGGAGCCAAAAGCAGTCTGTTTGACACAGCCAGGATGATCTCCGGAGTGTTGGAGGACTGATGTGCATCCATCTTGCGTTGGAGATACGACTTGCCGGCGGCGATCATGACGCGCTTGGTTTCTGCGGCGAGGTCGTCGATGGCGGCTTCCCGATCCAATCTGGTCTAGACGCTGGTGATGGCGGTATCGCCATGGGTGCGTGCGTGCTCGATAGCGCGCAGACGATTGTCGAGGTTGACGAGTTGACGGTGCATCTCTCTGAAGTTCTTGCGGAGATCGGCAGCGAGGTTCTCGATCAGCTGCTGCATGGTGGTGGTGGTGGAGTCCATGGATCGACTGGTCTCCGGATACCAGTGTAAGAGCCCGGCAGGGAGGGGGGCTCTAGGTGGCGTCTAGGGTTAGGGAGGTGGGATGTGGGCGGCGGCACAGGGAGAGGGCTGCGGTGTTAGGGCAGAGGGAGAGGAGTTGGCGCAGTAGAGGGAGAAGGGGAAGGAGGGATAAGCCTTGAGGCTGTTCTTTCTTAATTGCAATGATTACATAGCCCCTCTACTTATAGTCCTGGGTAGACTTGTATCCTAAGCAATCTAATGAGGGAAATCCTTATAGATATGGACCCCTTCCTACCTTAACTAATCCTATTCCTATTGGAGACTCTCCTGATATGGATAGTGGACGTCGGGGACCTGCCCTTGCTTGTGCGCCTCCCCCTAGGCGTCGGCACTGCTGCTGCTGCTGCTGCTGGCGTCTGGGCCAGCTGGGCCTGTAGGCCCCATTAGGCGTATGACATGGATGCTAATTGATGCATGTGTATTGGAATCAGTAGCGAATGGTTGCTGCTAGTGCTACCTGAATTTAATCGTAACTCACTGGCTGCACCGCTCCCAATGTAGCACAAAAGAATTTGCGAATGTTTGCATTGGAATAATGTTTTGCATAGTAGAACTAGCTTCATGAAAAATTGTGTAATGTGGCAATGTAATGTGGCAATCTTAACTTCTTTTGGGCCCTAATCACAATTTTCATATCTGCTTTGTCTATCAAGTTTTTTTTTTCCCTTTCAAGTAATGCTTGCTCCCTCATGTATGCCTTTTCGTTTTGCAGGATTTTCCACCACACATGCATCCTTTTGGATTTGTCTAGTTCCTAAACCCTTCTTTCAGACTGGCAGGTATCAAGAGGCCATACACATCTCGCACCTCTAAGTGGGTGTGGTCCTGCAACAATTCTGCAACCACCTTATCCTTGCCTTTGGGAGTAAGCCCGACCTACATCTGGAGGCTACGCCGAGCCTTGGAAGGCCTTTTTGTTGATTACGGCTAATTCCCAACGGCAGCTGAGATGTAACAAATTTGCTCAGCTCAGTTCTCTAGAAAAAGGTCCTTTGCTTCAGCAATGTGATTGGTTTCATAGGGTTTTTGGTGTGTTGGTGATCAAAGCAATCTGGTGTAAGCTTGCACAGTTGGCATCAGAGTTTATTTCTTATGGTTAGGTTCTTTTGCTTTTCATCCTCTACTGCACAGCACAGATCCAAGGTACAGACAAATACCTCTTGTATTTTTACTGCTTCCCATTGCATTCCCATGAAGAAGCAACTAGTTTAGATCCTACTTTACTACAACTCAAATCTTCTTTTGTTCTCTTGTTAGGAGGGGTTTTCCCCAGCAGATGAAACCATGCGTGCAGCGTCAAATAAGGATTCTCAGTTAAAGACCATGACTGCTTCAGCTAGTCCAAACCAGATGGCAGATGAAAATAACCGTTCAGCCGTGAGCGGGCATTGTGGCACTAGCCCATCATCTCATCAAGAATATTGCAGATCAGAAGACTTGAATAGATATGTATGCTCTGATGAGGGCAAGGAGGTTGGGCACCTAAAGAAGAGCCAGTCTCTTGGAAACATGCTTCAAAAGGATCATGATCATAATTCTAGCGAAGGCTCTGAGTTTGATGTTACAAACCATGAACACAAAGGCGACCCCTCTAGTTTCAAGAGAGGTGAAGTTGTTGGAGAATCTACTAAGACGTGCAGCCCAAAAAATGAGGACGATTTTGATGCCTCATCTGACCTAATCAGCCATGACTTTTGTGAACCTTTGGGTGATCACACTGTTGATTCTGATAGCCATCATCGCATGTCTTATTCCCAAAGCAAATTCCCAAGGTCACAATCTGCAATATTTCAGAATGATTCCACCAGTGATCCAGAAGGTTCTGTCGATTCTGAGATACTAGGGTCTCGTTGCAGATCTGTTGATGGTTTATGTTCACTGATTGATGAGAAGTTTGACAACCTGAGCGGTGGTGAAATGCATCGCAGTAGATCGAATTTTGATGTTTATTGTGCACCTTCTTCTCCAAATGTGTACCGGGCATCCAACATCGATGACCGTGGTTCAGTAGGTTGCTCTGATGCTGCTGCAGAGGGTCAACGGTCCACTGGAAGCACAGAAGAAAATTTTGTCAGGGATGGGATCCTAGTAGGTCATGAATACTGGGATGGCAAATACATTTGTGGTGATCACTCACTGGATCCAGTTGCCCCTTTCTGTGCAGATCCAGGGGATGTTTGTCACCATTCTGGGAATGACGGTGACCTCAGTGAAGCTACAGATCAAGAGAGAGAGAAGCTGTGGAACAGAGATAGCACACTCCACCAGTCCCTTGTAGTTGAAGTGCCTGAGTCGGTGAACATTTCTGATACAAATGACATTAGTGGGGAACCTGAACACAGTAAAACTGATATTGATGAGGACCCAAGTGAACTTACGCCAAGAACCTACAATATTAAAAGAATCGAGGATTGGATCAACCAAATTGATATCAATGATATCGCTTTGGATGAACAAGGAGAAAGTTCAAATTCTGCTTTGGCCAAATCTAGTGAGCCAATGGCTGGTGTTCCTGCTGTGCGGCCTGATGCTAAAAGCCTGCTTGGCATGGAGATAGCTTACACTTATATTTCAAAGTTGACTCCTGCTTCATCATCGGCACAGTTGGCAAACCATGGTTTGGTTGCGATTCCAAGACTGAGCGCATTCTCAGGTTTGCGCGTATTGAACTTATCAGGGAACTCAATTGGTAAGCCCCTTTTCTTTATTATTAGTTTTATTAGTTCAGCATTAAGTTATTAGCGGCATGCTGTTTGCTGTTTTCGTATCCTTGTTTTCTTTTGCATCTGTACTGCTCATCTGTTTCAATAAGATTACATCGCATTTCTAATGTTTGGGTCTTTCTGTGCAGTGCGAGTAACCGCAGGAGCTCTTCCAAAAGGCCTTCACATGTTAAGCCTGTCGAAGAATAACATATCAACAATCGAAGGCCTCAGAGAATTGACACGATTGCGCTTGTTGGATATCAGCTATAATAGGATATCTAGAATTGGTCATGGTATGTGTTTTAGCATCTTATAGTTTGCTCCTTTATTTATTGTGTTACTTTATTTATGTGCTTCTCCCTGGTTGTAGTCACTTGATAGAATCTTATGACGCTCACATACCCCCTTTCCCCCATTTTCATCTTCTGACTTGGCGCGTTGTTATGCTTTAGATTCTTAACTATCTTGAGGGGTGTGAGAAACCATTCATGGATGTTTCCTGAAACTGAATTATATATGATTATTCAACTGAAAAGATTTCTTTGCCTGCATTGACTTTGTTTTGGATTATTTGTTAGGACTGGCCTCCTGTTCCTCATTGAAGGAGTTATATCTGGCTGGTAACAAGATCAGTGAGGTAGATGGTCTTCACCGGCTTCTGAAACTTAAGGTTCTGGACTTGCGCCACAACAAGATTTCTACATCAAGGGGCCTTGGGCAGCTAGCTGCGAATTACAACTCTCTAGAAGCCATTAACCTTGATGGCAACCCTGCACAGAAGAATGTAGGTGATGAGCACCTGAAGAAGTACCTGCTTGGTCTCCTGCCAAACCTCGTTGTGTACAACAAGCAGCCTATTAGGGCGACTGGTTCAAAAGATGTCTCAGACCGCCATACCCGCAAGATCTCTTCTTCGCACCGTTCTGACCGTGGTGGTAGATCGGACCGCAAATCTTCCAGATTGGTGGGTGCCTCATCTTCTCACAAGCCACAGAGCTCACGACATGCACGCTCTGGATATGCCTCAAGCTCAGTGCAGAAGTACACAAGAGCTCGCAGCACGCCCATGACTTTGCTGGGATCAAGACCCGCTGAACATGTGAGTGCCATAGATGTGTCGAAGCATACTCAGACAGAGGGAAAGGCGCAGTAAGATCAGTCAAGCACGACCATCGATATACCATGTCAATGTTGTGAAATAAGCGAGGCATTTTGCTGATCGAGTTTTTCTCACGTGAATAAAGCTCAAAACAATAAGCAGAGCAGTGCTTTCATATCAGCACATATTTTTCTAATATTTGAGTGGTATTGATGACAATTGGGAATTGTATGATTTTTTCCCTTGCAAATAAAGCCTGAATGAAACAATAAGATTATCATTTTTTTTAAGACGACTTCTGTAAGACTGCAATATTGGTTGGTGATAAATTTTGTGAGCATTATCTGAATTTTGTGAGTTGTTCTGATAGATATATGGTACAAGTACCCTTGGGTTGGACAATTGGTGGGTGGTGCATTGGAATGGACAATTGGTACAATTTTGGGTTGGACAATTGGTGGTGGTTCCAATTGGTACAATTTTGGGTTGGACAATTGGTGGTGGTATATTGGGATGGACAATTGGTACGTTTTTGTTGTTTATGTATGGCTAATTGGTAGTACTTTGCTTCAATCTGGAATGTGTTTACCTACTTACTGGCTGCTGTTAGCATTGTACTGCGGCGATATATTGCTCTTGTATGGAATGGAACACCATCCAGGAAATGATTGATTCACCTTGTAGTTCATTCATCCTGTATGTTCATACTCTAATAACAAGAAGCAAATACTTGATACATCCTTTAAGAAATGGATCATGTTTTTTTTTTCAAGAATTAATGGGCGTAACAAACATTACACAAACAAATACTAGTATTAGCAGAGTATGTGGCTACTACTTGATGGAGAATTAACTCAAGTACGTGATGGGATGGAATGGAAGTCTAAAGGGAGGGGAGGGATTCCACATGTACAATCGATCAATCCGGATAGAATAGATGATCACGTTCAGGCGTCGGCCCCCTTGGTGTCGCCGCCGTTTTTGGCCATCTGCAGGTGGTTGCCGCCGACGTGCACGTCCTCGTCGGCAATGAACTTTTTCCAGAACCAGTGTGACCTCCAGACGAGCACCATCTCCTCGATGGGCACGTTCTTGGTCTCCGGCAGGAAGAGCGCGATGAAGACGGTCATGATGACGACCCAGCCGGCGAAGAAGTAGAAGAGCCCGAACTTGAAGTGGCAGAGCATGGTGAGGAACGCCTGCGCGATGCAGAAGGTGAAGAACATGTTGACGGAGACGTTGATGCTCTGCCCCGCCGGCCGGATCTCCAGCGGGAAGATCTCCGACGGCACCAGCCACCCGAGCGGCCCCCACGACCATGCGAACCCGGCCACGTAGGCGCAGATGAACACCACCACCACCGCCGCGTAACCCCTGGCGATGTCGCCCGTGCCGCTGGTCCCGAACTTGGCGGCGATGAGCGTGCCCACCACGAGCTGGCACACGATCATCTGCGCGCCGCCCTGGAGGAACAGCTTCCGGCGCCCGACGCGGTCGACGGTGACAATGGAAACCACGGTGGCGAAGACGTTGACGAGCCCCGTGATGACGGAGGACATGAGTGAGGCGTCGTTCTTGAACCCCAGCGTCTCGAACAGCACCGGCGCGTAGAACATGATGACGTTGATCCCCGTCAGCTGCTGGAAGAAGGGGATCATGACGGCCATGGTGAGCTGCGCCCGGTACCGGCGCTTGAGGATGTTCCGCCACGGGTGCTGCACCTGCCAGGCCTCCTCGCTCGCCGCCACCAGGTCCGCGTACTCCTCGCCGATGTCCTCCGTGCCGCGGATGCGCCGGAGCATGCGCCGCGCCTCCTCGGGGTGGCCCCGCTCCAGGAGGGAGTTGGGGGTGTCGGGGAGGAAGAGGGAGCCCAGGGTGATGATGGCCGCCGGCACCGCCGCCAGCGCCAGGCTGACGCGCCACCCGTACCCGGCCTTGATCTTGTTGGTGCCGTAGTTGATCAGCTCCGCCGCCAGGATGCCGATCGTGATCATCAGCTGGAACCCGATGTTGAGCGTGCCACGGAGACGCGCCGGCGCCATCTCCGACAGGTACACCGGCACAGACTGCATACATGAATGCATGCGTACGTTAGAAATCAATTTTCATTCATTCATTGTTACTAGTACTTGCCAATATTGATCATTAGCATGCAGTTTATTTGTGCTGTAGATTACTCCTACTCCTAGTAGTAACAAAATTGACGCGATTGCGAATTGCGATCACTCAAGAACACAAGTTAGGCATTGCGTTGCAGTTTAGTACTACACTAGTACGTACTGGTCCTGCATGCATATCGCATATGCCGACATGTTGGACAGGCAAGCAAGAAGTCAAACATGTGACGTCACTATTTGATTCATTGACCATGACCTGAACTCGCATGTTTTAATAAGCTGCTAATATATATACGATTTTGCAGAAACGTTGCTTCTGTAGATCCAGTTGTATTATTATTTTGTCAGCTAATAATAATCATTAAACGTGTATACTTTTGGACTACTTTTGTCAGCAAATAGTAATTTTGTTACTAATGATTTTACTATTATTATGTAACTCAATAGTCTAGTAACAATAATGGTTGTCTGCCCATCTCTGTCCATGTTTCTAGATGCAACAATATCTATCTTTTCTGTATACCTATAGTACATATGTGCATGCACTGAAAATGACATTGTAAGTTTGCAACGCAATAGTCCAAGTCGAGTCTTTGAAGGAATCAGGATAATAATGAAAGCAATGCCTGCCTGTGGAATAAGAATTCCTTGCTGCAACTTGTGTCCATATTACTGCTAATCGATGATCACTTTAACAAACTTTGATTGGTTTGACTAGATAGCTAGACACCGAAATTCCCAGTAATAATGGTAAATAGTGGTGCTATGATAGGGAGACAGCAGATAGGATAATAATCTCCCACAAGCAGGACAGTCCAATTGGAATTTGAAGCTGGGAATCCCAGGTTCAAATTGTTCAAGAATCAGGATATTTTTTTCACAGCATCTTTGTATTGCTTGCGTGGACAGTGGCCGGATTCACAATCACAGTGCTGTCTGATGTGTTTTTTTTTATAAAAAAAGCAAAAGGGCATGGACTGTGCCATTCAGTTATTGAGAAGAAATGATCAGCAAGCTAATTAAGGTTAAATTGAAGGTACCCACCAGCAGGTGGTTGCAAATTGAAATACGCAGTACGTAGTACTAGTCGACTAGCTAGTGGTACGTGGATGTGTGTGTGTGTGTTTAATAATTATCTGTTGTTATCCGTCTCCAGGGCTCATTAACTAGTCCGGATCTTATCTCGTAATCCATAGTGTCACATGAAACCTTGCGTTTGAATGATCTTTGCAAGGAAAAAGAAGTTTGCTTTTGAATGAAATTTAAGTGTTGCGCGTGAACCTTGGCGATGTCGACCGACCTTACATACGTACTGTTACAGCTATAGCTAGCCAGCTAACGACCACGGAGTACACACACACAGTTAATGGATACAATTATATACTAGTCTATATAGAGTATATTGTATATGCAATTAAACAGCTCGTCGTTGCCGCCAATGACATGCATGAACATAATAATGTCGTCGAAAATACAATTAACACTTAGCTAGCTAGCTAGCGGCTCTGGTAACAGGGCAACACTTTTTTTTTAAAGACGAAGAAGGCAAAAATGCAAATTATACATTAGACCAGATGAGATGCTAGAAAGCTGCTCTCTGGTATATATGCTTGAGAGATACTCCTATAAGAAACAAAATTGTTGGCAACAGGTAGGTAGCTAGCTAGCGTAGTAAAGGGGTCAAGATCAGCAACTAGCTAGCTGAGAGCGAGGCCGAGGAGGAGGACAATGAACAAGCAAAGCCAGCAAGAGCCAAGAAACCGGCGGCAAGCTCTAGCATAGTGATGATGTGAAGATCTAGCTAGCTAGGTGGCAGATAAACGTACAGAAGAGTCAACTTCCATGCTATACAAGTGAACATCTTCAATTTGGCTCTCTCTCTCTCCTCTCTCCTCTCTCTCTCTCTCTCGAAAAAAAAAGAAACAAGAGAAGAGAAGAAAAGTAAACATCCATCTTTGAATTGTGTTGCTACCTAGCTTGGACTTTGGGAAGCATGCATGCATATGCTTCCAGCGGGGTACGTATCAGGACAATGGAGATACTATTTATTTATATATATGAGCCGTGATTGTTGCCAAGTTAATAAACTAGCCTACCAGCTTGGACTTTGCACATGCACGCTCTGTGTATGTATACAAGTTGTTAATATATATTATTATTATCTATTGAACTACTAATACTGCTAGTATATTATACACGTATGTAAGTATGTATGTGTATAGTTTCCGTTGGTTAACTGGCACCTAATGAAGAGAATCTCATCTCGATCGTAATCTTTTCTTTTCAAAACTCAAGCAACCCTTGGACAGCTACGTATGTCCCTATCATGTACGCAAGGACGTCATTGACGGAATCGCTACGGCCTCGCTCTTTGCTGTCACTACTGCTAGTCACGACAAGGTAGAATTCATGAAGAGATCATTTATGGTGTAACATTTATATATATATATATATATATATATATATATATATATATATATATATATATATATACTATTATTATAATATATATATATATATATATATATATATATATATACTCTTCTATATATAATTATCTTATATAAATATATATGCTTTGTCTCATTAGATTAGGTATAGTTCTTTTTGTTACCTGCCGTGCAAAAAAACAAGCAGCAGGACAGAGTAGCCGCATCTCGATCGTCTCTACCGAGAGGAGGCGTCTCGGTAACTACTCAATCTCGAAAAAAGATAGCTAGTGTACGTACATATGCAGGCATCCAGTATTACCGCATAATACTATGTACTCCTCCATCCAGAAAAGAATGTAATTATGGGATCTATATTGGTCAAAGTAGCTCAAATTTGATCAAGTTTATAGTAAATGGTATTAATATTTATGTCTCCAAATAAATTTATTATGAAAATATATTCTATAACTAATTTAATAATACTAATTTTGTATCAGGGATGTTA